TTCTATCCAAGGGTGGAGATTGATTCTCTAGAATGCTCCACACACTCTAGGAGGCTCTATACTCTTCCACTCTATTACATATCCTTCCATACTCTTCCATAAGCTTCCAGAAGGTTCCACACATCTCTAGAATATTCTAGAGGATTCCACACTATTCCACATACTTCTAGAGAGTTCTAAACTTCTCTAGGATTCTCCAGAACTTTCTAGAAAATTCTATGCTTCTCCAGAAAGCTCTAGAATTTTCTAGAACCTCTCCAATTAAGGAGGGATCCCAACAGTATATATTATTATGTTGAATTTGTTTAACTCAAAATGTCTATATGACTGTCTAGGGCCTCATATTTAATTTGCTCTAGACGGCCCTGTCTATAGATTATATTATCAGCCATGTAACAAACGTTTTTCTTGGCTGATACAGATGGACTATTACACGCTGTGTTAATGATGCAACTAATAACATGCTCATTGCTTCTTTCGAGGTGGAGGAATTTAGGACAACAATTTTTCAAATGCATTTGGATAAGGGACATAAGGCACCCGGGCGTGATGGACTCAATCCAGCTTTCTATAAATGATTTTGGGAGCTTTGTGGACATGATATTGTGCAGGTAGGCAGAACCTGGTTGGAGCAAGGGAGATTGCCACACCAGATTGGAGACACTAATATTGTCCTCATTCTGAAGTGTGATTCACCCACTTAGATGACAGACGTGAGACCTATCTCACTGTGTAATGTTATTTCTAAGATTATTTCTAAAGCTCTAGCTAATAGACTTCAAAAAATTCTCCCGGATTGTATCTCTATGGAACAGTCGAGTTTTGTCTCAGACCGTAATATTATGGATAATGTTGTTCTAGCTGGTGAGATTATTCATTATATGAAGTCTAAAACAAGGGAACATAGGGGAGAGGCTGCTCTTAAGATCAATATTAGCAAAGCGTATGATAGAGTCGGCTGGTAGTACTGGTTTGCTGTTTTGGAGCGGATGGGTTTCTGTAGCAACTGGGTTGGTTGGATGCGAATGTGTTTAACCACAGTTACATATACAATACTAGTGAATGAAGATCGTGGTGGCCATGTGATACCGCATAGAGGACTAAGGCAGGGAGACCCTCTCTCACCATATCTTTTTATCTTGTGTGCAGAAGGTCATATCTTTTTATCTTGTGTGCAGAAGGTTTTTTAGCCCTTATTCGACAAGAAGAAATGAGAGGTTTAATACATGGAATTATGATTTGTAGGGGAGCCCCATAATCACTCACTTGCTCTTTGCTGAAGACAATTTTATCTTTTTTCGGGCAAATGAAAGAGAGGCACAACATATGCAGGAAGTCATTCAGGTTTATGCTAAAGCACCCGTTCAGGTTATTAATTTCCAAAAATCTGAAATTTATTTCAGCCGGTATTGAGGAGCCAAAACGGGAGCAAATAGCTAATTTATTTGGAGTTCGGTCATGCCTAGGAACCGGTAAATACATGGGGCTACCATCTATGATTGGTAGAAGTAAGAAATCTATCTTTAAATATATAAAGGATAGGGTATGGCGAAAAATTTTGAGTTGGAGTTCCAAGCTTGTGTCACAGGCAGGTAAAGAGGTGCTAATAAAGTCCGTCATCCAAGCTATTCTAGCCTATTGCATGAGCGTTTACTTACTTCTCGTCACTCTTCAAGAAGAGATTGAAAGAATGATTAATTCTTTTTGCTGGGGTTCGAGGAGGGAGGATGGCCGGGGAGTGTGTTGGCTTAGTTGGGATAAATTAACGATCCAGAAGGAAGATGGCGGGATGGATTTCAGGCATTTCTAGGGCTTCAATCTCGCCATGCTCGGCAAGTTTGGTTGGAAATTATTTTCAGACCCGGATACTATGGTTTCACGCACTCTAAAGGCTAAGTACTTTCCACATGGGAATTTCATAGGGGCGGCTTTGGGCCACAACCCCAGTTTTATTTGGCGTAGTATCTGGTCAGCTCGGGCATTGTTGAGAGAGGGCTATCGATGGAGTATTGACAAGGGTGATAACATTCGAGTTTTGGGACAACCGTGGCTCCGTAATAATGATGACCCTTGGATCCATACGAGTGGTAGTATGTTAGAGGGGCTTCATGTCAGCGAGCTAATTACTTTAGAAGAAGGAGTTTAGAAGGAAGATCGGGTCAGGGGTATTTTTGAAGATAGGGATGTGGATGAAATATTGAAGATTCCATTACTTAACTTAGCTCGAGAGGACTCTATGATTTGGAGATTTGAGAAGGATGGCCGGTACTCAGTCCGGAGTGCATATAGAATTTGCATGGAGATGATGGTTGACACGAATCATCTTAAAGTTCAAGGGCCATGGAGGCAGATCTCGAATTTGCATGTCCCGCCAAAGGTACACACTTTTCTTTGGAGAGTTGGTCGTGATTGTCTACTAAATCGAAGTAGACTAAGGACTAAGGGGGTCAATTCTCCAGATTTGTGTGTTATGCATGTGTGGGGATAGTCCGGAAAATAATTGGCATACTTTTTTGTCTCGTCGAGAGAGTGTTGATTGTTGGAGAAGAATGGATCTTTGGGACTCCTTGTCAGAGGTGGCCTCCCAGGCGGAGTCTTCCTTTGATTTCCTCTATGAGATTTTTACTAGTTTTTCTAATGAAAAATTAAAAATGATTGGGATGATGATGTGGAGTATTTGGAGATGAAGGAATTGCTGGTTTTGGGAGGGCCTTCGAGATACGCCGTCGGAGGTGATACACAGGGGAGCTGAGGTTATATAGGCTTGGGAAAGTGCTCGCAAAGGAAACACGGTCAGAACAGCTAGGATTGGTAATGTCACTAAATGGAGTCAGCAGAGTGGGAGGAAGCTGTAGTGTAATGTGGATGCTGCCATTTTTAATGAAGAAAGGACCATAGGTACATGCTGTTGCGTAAGGGACTGTCGGGGACATTTTCGAATAGCTAGAACAGAAAGGTGTAGTGCTTCTTTATCTCCATTTGAATCTGAAGCATGGGGACTAAGACGAGCTATGAGTTGGATGACGAATTTTAGCTATGCGGAGGTTATCTTGGAAATGGATTCGAAACAAGTTGTGAAGGATGCACGTGCTTTCTATCAAGGTGGCTAAAACAGAATATGTAGCTCTTATCAGGGGACTGTAGAGCCATTTTTTATAGTCATAGCAACTTTGATGTTGTATTTACTAGGCGTGAAGCTAATGGTAGTGCTCACGTGTTAGCACGGTCATCTATCATCTTTGCTTCTAGCGTTGTTTTTCAGCATATTCCTTATTGTATTCTCAACGTTATTAATAATGAAATGAATTAAGTTTTTACTGTAGAAAAAACACTTATTTGCTACCGTTTAAACCAATAACCACATCAATAAATAGAAAACAAGTAAAAAAAATAATGAATGCACTATTTTTTGCATTTGCTATAGATACCGCACATTAAATATGAGGAACAAAGTCGAATAAAACGGTTAAAACCGAACCGGAATGTGCTAAAACCGACCAAAGTCGGTACAAATCAATTGAAATTAACTGAACTGAAATTGGCCGAAAGCCCAAAACCAACTAACAGACTAAGGGAGTTTTTGCAACTGCTTCTGCTTAAAAAAAAGCACTTTTGGAGATGTAATGAAAAAGTGATTGGTAGTAAAAGTTGATAGTGTTTGAGAAAAAAGTGATTTTGAACAGTAAAAGTTGGTAGTGTTTGGTAAAATAAGTGCTTTTTGTGTAATAGAAAAGGGAAAAACATTTTTCACACGCAAGCCGAGAAAAAGTAAAAATTGGAAGTGTTTGGTAAATAAGTGTTTTTTAAGCCAAAAGGTGAGAAGTCCTTTTTTTAAGCTATTGCAAACACTCCCTTAATACTCAACCGATAAAATTGAAAGTGAACAAACGAAACATCCCTTGTCCATAATCCAGATAGGGTCCTTGTTGTACATCTATGTGACTATAAGTTAACAAGTTATCTCTATGTATCTCCTATTTTTAATGTTTTTCTAAAACACCTTTACATTAAATTAAAATAGTCATGTTGTGTCTACTTATATATATAGTTTCTCGCCTTCGCATGTTACGTTGTCTACTTATAAAATTGCTAGCTTAACTACTACGTTACTACAAACTACCTCCGTAACTTAAAAACCTTATCATTTCAAAAGTAGGTAGATTAAGAATAGTGAAAGAAGATATGAATTATTGAGGGTATGATAGGAAGATAGTGGAATAATATGATGGAATGTAGGATAAATCCAAAAAAAATAGTTGTAATAGTGTATTACTTTGAGAATTATTGAGAGTATGATAGGAAGATTTAGAAATGGGAAGATTTTTTTTGTTATGAACGAAAAAGGAAACTGGGGAAATTTTTATGTTACGGAGGGAGTAGTATATAAGTGGACATATAGATGATGAAGATCATAACAACAATAATAACAACAGTAACAATAATAATAGTAAAAGTAGGGGGGGTTTTGACTTTGTGTCCATACTCCATATTAGACTTCACACACATTAAGGGGAGGTTTTGACTTTGTGTCCATACTCCATATTAGACTTCACACACATTTTCAGAATTATTAGTGTAGGAACCCAATCAGCCTAAAAATTGTAAAAGTGATGCAAAGTCATATGGTATATGATGTTATGATAATCGGGATTATTTGTGTATGCACACATTAATGATTCTGAAAATGGCTTGTAACTTTAATATTACAAAAAAAGGATGCAGCGTCACATCATCCCCTAATAATACACACTTAATCAAATGAGAAAATTTAGTATTCAAATGTTCAAATCAAATCATAAAATTTAGATGTAAGCACAGAAGATTGCATAAAAATGTAATTCAATCACAAAGATTCAAATTAAATGAAATCCGATCTTAAAATATTGACACAAAATCGTCCAAAAGTTTACACCGACAGGTCTTTTTAACCCCATACCTGCCTAGCTTTTGTGTGTATATATATATCCGCACCACATCTCAACGCACTTATCAATCTGCCACCTTGTGCTTAAGATGGAGAGAAGACATCAAACACTATGCCATCTTTTCCTCAAATGCCTTTTGTTGGTTGCGATTTTGCTCTCCAACAGCTTCAACGAAATTTCCACTGCTCAAGCCATGCGGTCGCTCCACAAATGTAAGCTCTCTACTATATTGGAAGGCCTTTTTATTTGACACTAGTAATATATATTACTAGTAAATAAAAATATAATTTTAGCAAGGCCTTATTTATTTTAGCAAGGGTATAATAGGTTCGAATACCCTTGTAATACGCTCTAAAAATAGGATTAAAGTATATACTATCGTCCGAACCTATTATACCCTTGCTAAAATTATATTTTTATTTGTAATAAAAACATAAAAACAATTTAAAAAAATCATCTATACTAAATAAGGCAATACAAATGCATGTTATCATTTTTTCTGGTGGTCATAGTTAGTGGTGTTGGGAGGTGCTAGAGGCGGCGGCAGAAGCCTGCATAATCTCAATTTTTTAATTTTAATTTTTTAATTTATTATTTGTATATATATTTTTTTCTAATTTTTTATTTTTATAATTTTTTATTTTTCTAATTTTTTTATTTCTTATCAATTTTAGTTTTATTTATCCTTGTGTTTTTTTACATTTTTATTATAAATAAAACTATTTTATTACTTTTTTATTTTAACAATTAATAAAACATTGAATGGTATTAAGACATAGCAAGGGCTAAATTGGCCAAATGTATTTTCATATTATAAACTATCACTCCAAGTAATTTATGAAAATAAAACAAATTACTCAAAGTATTAGTTATAATAGACATTGTTAAAAGAAATAATTGCATATTTATTACAATAAGTAAGGTCGTTTGCAAAATGAGATCTTCTAAGTGTAGTCACGGTCATAGCAATTTGTGTTGATTTATTTACTTATGTGACCATGACACTATACTCAATCATAATAGTTATAGACATACTCTGATATATAGGCTTTATTTTAGAAGTTTGAAATATTTCAAAAATATTTCTTCGTGCGTCATGCATGCAGCGGCGGACGCAGGATTTCCCGATCGCAGGGGCGGCAGTAGAAGAATATACATACAAATACATATATATTAAAAATTTCGGGGTAAATATACCTAGATTTTTTTTTTTTTCGGAGGGGCGGCAGCCCCTCATTGCCCCCCTTTGTGTCCGCCGCTGCATGCATGGTCACTTAAGTTTAAAAATTGAACATAAGTTAATATAATTAAGTTACTATGTGCTACAGTCATTAGTAATATTTTGCATATAATCTTTACTTAATCATAATTATAGAATTATTTCTTCTAAATATTTAAATTTTAATTAACTGTGATTTAAATTTAGTAGGAATGTCGTACTTTATATATATCATCCATCAATCATAAAAATTACTCCGTATAAATTACGTATATTACATATATATCAAAATAGTAATTTATATATGATTTGTGTTACATACAGACAGGAGCAGTCTGCCCAACAAAATGATATTCATTGATGAATACTTTCCGCATACTATTTCAGTAAGTTTGCCTACTCTACTTTTATCGTAAAAAAAAAATGTGACTAAAATAATAAATGTGACTACTAAGTAAGTTATCATGATTATACTTAAAATATCTCATTTTTTTTATGATTATTAATTTAAATTTGATAAAACATCACAGAGAAATGATGAATTGTTGAGACGCAAGTTACACGACGACGTGCCAGGAGGACCCAACCCAGGTAAGTTTATCATTAGTTCTAATTTCTATCTATACGTGGTAAAAGACCATAGAAATTACGGAGTATGTGGTAAATGCATTTATTTATTAGAGTTATTAGGAAATAGGGGAGCCACACGCCCCACACTCTTTTAGACCTTGTTTTACCTATATCCTACACCCGGATGTAGGTACATCCAGCCTAGTTGAAGAAGACAGTCCATTAACTAATATAGACCATTTTATTTTCGGTGGCATTTTTGTAATTTAAGCAAAAAATCACGGCTTCAGCTAAATGAGCATAATTGTACGTTTAATGAGCAATAGTCCAATTATAATGAGTATTAAGCGTCCAATAATGAGCATCATGTTAGTACAAGAAAACTGATATCATAACTAAAAAACAGTGGCATTTTTGTAATATCAGTGAAAATCGTGTTTTTCGATAGATGAGTATTAAAATGTGAGCATCATGTTAGTACAAAAAAACTGATATCACACTGTTAATGAGCATCAGATGTATTCTATTGAGCATTACGAGTCGAATAATGAGTAATGTGATATCAATTTCATATATTATAATTCACTTTCCGTTATCTTATTTTTTCTTTTATAAAAACTCATTAAATTTTATCTATAATCAATTCCTATGAATTTCAATATGTGAATCGAATGTAATATGGTACTTTGATATGAAAATCATAAGGTTTGTTAGTTAAACATCACAACATTTTAACTGAGCATCAAACCTTCGTTATTGAGATGAAAATCATGGTTTCTGGTGAATGAGCATTAATGAACTTTTAATGAACATCAGAACAATTATGTTGAGTATTAGGAGTCTAATATTAGAAATCGTGATCTCTGCTTCATAATTTCTAATTCACTTTCTTTTTGTTATTTTTTCTTTTATAAAAAATTATTACGGAGTAAATTATATCTATAATCAACTCTTATGAATTTCAATATGTGAATCTAATATAATATTGTACTCTTGAAATATGCATTGATATGACATTTTTAAAATGAGCATAACATGAGTACTAGTTGAGCAGACGTAACTTACAAAATGAGCAATGATATAAAAATCATAAGGTTTTTTCGTTGAGAATCAAGACATTTTCATTGAGTATCAAATCTCTTTTATTGAGTATTATAAATATACAATTGAGTATCATGCATGGTTTGTGCTCTAGTATCTATAATCAACTCTTACGTGAATCAAACGTGATATGCTAATTTTGAAATATGTACTGATATAACATTTTAAAATTTTAAAATAGCATAACACTAGTACTAAATGATTATACATTATTTACCAAATGGGCAATGATATGAAAATTATAAGCTTTGTTAGTTGAGCATCAAAGCATTTTCATTGTATATCAAACGTCGTTTATTGAGTATTATAAGCATAGAATTGAGTATCATGATCTCTACTCTCTTGTCTCTAATCAACTCTCATGGGAATCTAATGTAATATGGTAGTTTTGAAATATGCATTGATATGACATTTTAAAATAAGAATAAAAATCAATATCAGATAAGCATACGTAACATAAAAATGAACATTAAAATGTTCAAAAGCTCAATTGAATTCTCTAATGTGTTCAAATATTCATTTGTGAATGCTCATTTCTTTTAATAGTTATACTCATTCGAATATAACATCAACTCTTTTGTATAACATGTACATCTAGTAAATTCGTTATTAACAATTTAATAAACTATCATTATATATAACAATGAAAAATATAAAAATGCTATACTAAAAACAAATTTTAGGTTTATTTTTTAAAAAAAATGAAAATATAATTGCGTTATTTTTATAATATTTACTCATGCACATTTATTTTGCACTGTACTCATTTGAGTATAATACAAAACTCATGTTGGTAATAAACTCATTTGAGTATAATACAAAACTCATGTTGGTAATAAACTCATTTTAGTATAATACACACAATATTTAATAAACTAATAAATATTAATCTTAAAATCTGAAATATAAAAATAAAATTAATACCTAAAATATTTAATAATGTACAATTAAAAAGAATTAAGTTATGAGTTTTATTGAAAAAAGCAAAAACAAACTCCAACACTAAATAATATTTTATTTATACATTTTGATAATAATTGAAAAAAAATAAAGCAAAAAGTTGGTGTTTTTTTAAAGTGCAAAAAGTTGTTGAGTAAAAAGAAATAATACAAAGGAGAACAACAACAACGTAAAGCAAAGGAATTAAAAAGACGGAGCCAACAGATGTACGCGTGTAAAGCAACCTACAGTGCCGGTTGAAAAACAGAGAAGAAGCAAAACAAAAGGAAAACGGAGCCGGCAGAAAAAAGAAGAAAAACAGAGTAGAAGCAACATGACTATTAGGCTTTAAGTTGTAATTAATTGCAAAAATACCCGGTTGTACGGTGAGAACCGTACAACCGGGTGTACGGTATAATTTACCTTGTTTGGGGATGAATGGAAGACTTAGAGGGAAACGTCACATGGTCCGCATTGGCAACTCAGTTGATCACATGAGTAAAATTTGACACAAGTGATCTAGGATTATGTCATTAAAGTTATAGCGTTGAAGACCCCCTCAAAATATAATGAGGGAGGAATTTGTGCATAGTGGGCACTTATATACTCCCTCCGTCCCAATTTGTAAGATACTTTACGGTTTACGATGTTTGACCGACGATAAAGCAAATTGATCCCTGTCAACACTCAAATTAGTTTTACAAAATAAAATTTACATATTCAGAAACTACATTAAAACCGCTACAAAACCTTCAAAAAATAATTCACATTTCATAAACTTTTGATATATAAAGTAAAAGATTAAGAGTGATTTGTGTTGACCAAGTGAATAGTAAATGTATCTTACAATTTGGGACTGAGGGAGTAGCATTTTGCTTACACACATCCCATATATGCTCTATCGGGTCGTGATGTGGGGCTGAACTCTTAATTGAGATTGAGGATCCAACCATTTGGCACAAGGGATACGTCACATTATGTACATTACTCCACCCAACATATATCCATATCAAACCGTTTCAGTTAAAAAAAACACATTGACAGAATATCAGTTATATATGGATATATGTTGGGAGTTTATATCCACAAGAATTCATATTTAGTTTATATACTTGGGAGTTTTTCTTGAACACTACTAAAAAAACCATAGATAAAATGTCACTGCTAGGGACATGTTAGCGCCGGTAAACTTTTTCTGCCAAATATTTTCTGAACAATTTTCTTGCGACTACATATTTTGAAAGAATTTCCTTGAAATCTTTTCTCGGCATGGCGACAGACTCCAGCAAATTAAGAAAATCAAGTCATCGGCAGACGGTAGTGATGGGAGGGAATTAGGTCAAGGGAGAAAAAAGTTGAATAAATTAAGGGTCTTGAATAACTAGTTAATTACATTTTTACATACTACGTATAATCATTTAAAAAAATTATGTTCTCTTAAAATATTTGAATTAAGGGCTCACTTTTTTTGTTGTGTTTGCACAGGACCCGGACCCCCACATTTCAAGCAGAATGGATCACCATCAGGCCCTTAAAGTCAAGGATGATAGCTCTGTTTGATTTGATTTGATTGCCTATTGTTTTATTTTGTCCAAGGTTTTCAATCCATAGTGTACTTCGTCTCTGCACCGTTACTATTATACTTGCATAAGATCGAGTACGTGGTGTAATATAAATATTCTGGAGTATGCCTTTGAAAGTTAGGTTCATACCTTCAATGTATACATTTCCGATTTTGATATACGTACTCTCCACGTTCTGCTACGGATTCACTTATAAATTTTCATTATTTGGTTATCTAAGAAAAGTATTAATTACCCTTATTTAGGACATGTTTACTTCAGTGGGTAATAAGGAGTGCTTATTAAAGATTCTCTTAACAAGCCATTTTTAATAAGAACTGTGTAATAAAAATATGTTTACTTCAATTGAATGTCTTGCTTAGTAAGACAAATACTACGTATATGTTTACTTCAATAGGATTAGAGTATGTGTTAATTGTAAAAGGTTTAGAATAACCTTCCGCTTATAACTAATACAAACCCTAAATTTCTGTGCCAATAGTTTGTGCCAATAGTTTGTTCTCAAAGAGGAATCTGTTAAGCCACCCATATCATTTCTATTTTTTTTTTTTTTGAAAATAAGTGGAATGAAAAGAGGCACCGTGCTCAACCACAAAACCAACAGTCCATCTTTTCAAGTAACTTTATATTTTAATTTGGGATTAAAAGGATATTTGGGTGAGCTTCAAGGTTCAAATTACTAGATTGAAAAGGACAAGTCGGACAAAAGAATTACACATCTGCTCAAATTCTGTGAAGCTTTAAATTTTACAAGAACATATTTTTCAAGGAAGAAACCCTAATCCAGAGATGTAAAGAAATATTGGCTAAACTGATAAGTTATAAAATAAAAACGAACCAAAACAAGGAGATTTATAAAAGCGTATTGAAGATGTATAATGAATATAGAAGAGAGCCATGCCTGCGATGGTTAAAATTTGAGGGAGGAAGATGGTTGATGGGCATCGGCAAAAATTGTGGAGCAGACTTTGCCTGCTTAGGTTATATGCAACGGAGGGAGGATATGAATGTAAATAAGTTCTGTTGTGCGATGTAAAGTAAGGGCAACATAGCCATTATAAAAAGTGTTAAAGCACCGGCTAAGTAAAACATGGGGGTGCGGAAGTTTTAATAAGCAGGCGTATAAACCGTGTGAGTGGTTATTAAACGGAGAGTGTTCTATTCACTTTGTTTACTTCAGCCGTATTATTAAGCTAACGGTAGAATAAACGGTGAAGTAAACATGCCCTTAGAGTTCAAATAAACAAGTTTGTGATGCTTTTTTTTGTTTCACCATACAAAAAAAATGTATTGGGTATAATTAGTGGTGGAGACAGGAAGGGACCGAAGAGTTCTCAACCCTCAAGGAAAAAAAATGTGATATACATCTAGAATGCTCATTAGCAGTAAAAATAAATTGAAATTTCATCTTTGACGCCCAATATAAATTATTTAGGTCCTAGCCCTCTTAACATGATATCTCTTATATCGTCACTATGTATAACTCACTCAAATCTAACTCATGATTTCTAAAAACTTATAAATGTGATGAGGGTTAAGCCCTTTTGAGAATAAATTTTTTATTGGTGTAACTCTTGAGCAAATGGTAGTTGTACAATATCTACAAACTTATAAATGTGAATGAGGGTTAAGCCCTTTTGGGAATAAAATTTTTGTTGGTGTAACTCTTGAGCAAAATGTAGTTGTACAGTATGTTTAAGGCATTGTACTAATTATTTGGATACCCTCGGTTATCTGTTAAAGGTAAAAGCCAGACGACGTCTATGCAGTTGTGAGGTGATCACTTTAGTTGCATTTTGGCAGTAAAAAGGTTATTGATATTAATGAAAGCGTCATGCTAAGTACTTAACTTCAGTTTCATCTTATGAGATTATAGTATTTGAAAGTAAGCACCGTGTGATTGTTCTTTATATCACCCCAACCATTTTTGTTACAGTTGAGGATGCTGATACCTCAGTATCATTAGCTACTGCCAACATGCAGCAACTCAGTATGGAGGAGTAGAGGAGGAGAAGGAGCAAGGCGTGTCATTTGACCAATGGGTACTTTCACATTGTTTTACTAATGGTGTTTTGAGTAGGGGGTGTTCTCTATGAGTTTAGTGTCTGTGCAGAACTCGGGAAATACCAAGGAGAAATAATAGGAAAATATTATGTAAACTCAATTTAAATATGTATAGGATTTTTTTTAAATTAATCATTTTCACTTTCTTTTGAACCATTGTAAATAGAATAAATAGAAGTAATTAACTTCCTTTGTATTTTCTCCGTTCTCTAGCATTTTCCACGGCTTGACTTCCAAACACTCCCTTAGTTTGTTAATAAACAAAAGGTATCAAAAGTTCTGAAATCTATGGTGACGAGTAGGCCTGGACCCGGGCCGGTTCGGGCCTAGGCCGGGCTGGGCCGGCGGTTCTGGAATGGGGGGCCCAGAACCGGGCCGGGTAATCCCCGGTTCCGGTTCGGGCCTCAAGCCTTTGTTAAATTTTTTCCCCTTTCCCTAGTTAACCCCCAACCCCCCCCCCCCACCCCCAAACCACCCCAAAGGCCCAAAATACCCAGCCCAACCCGAAAAGTTAAAAAAAAAAAATTGAAAAAGGCCCCGAACCGGGCCCGAAACGGTCGGGCCGGTTCATGATTTGGGGGGCCCGAGCCAGGATCGGAACCCACGCGGGTCGGGCCTACCCTGACCGGGCCACCGGGCCGGGCCGGAACAGTGCCGGTTCGGGCCGGTTCCGGGTCGGGCCACCCGGCCCAAATCCAGGCCTAGTGACGAGGATCTCATTTCGGTTCATACTGTATTCACGCTTCATAAGAGTGCAGGAGATAGTGGAATTGGATTCGATCAATGGATGAGAACTATCGTTTGTCAGATAGGACATGGCTTAATACAAAATTGAAACTTACCGTTGTTCACCCTCATAAAAGTTACTGCTGCTAAATTTAATTTGACTAATAATGTCACTACAAAAAAACACGGGCGTAGTCACGGATTTAGTCACGGACTGCAGTGTAAAAATTCCGTGACTAAAAAGGCTAGTCACGGTCATCCGCCGTGACTAAATGATCTCGCGGTAGCATCCCTCCTACTGACTGCAAGACTCTATTCATGCAAGTTTCAGGGAGACTGTATTCGGCTTTTATGTTCATGAACTCAGTAACAACGGATAGCTGAGAGTATCCCTCACAATCAGCATACAGAGGTTGGTCGGCAGCTTTTAGAACATCCTGAAATCTCTCAACCAAACCTTCATCCACATAAGGTTGATAAATGTCGGATTTTCATCCGCATCTGGTTGATACGAGGTTGAGGCTTCAGGGTGGTCGTTAGGTGGTTGTGGGGGGTTCAACTGAGACGGTACACCGTATGCGTCATATACCATTTGTTGGTCCCACCTCATTTCAGCACGGTCTCCCCACGCACTCATCTCTGGAGGGACGTAACGAGACGAACCTACCGTTTGTGGTATAACAGATGGATCCAAAGGTTCGCCGTGAGAAGTCCAATTATAATAATTGGGAACAAAACCGACCGCGTACAAATCATACCCAACTTCGTGTGGGTCTTTAAATTTGAGATTTTTACACTTTGAACATGGACATCTTATTTTATCACCACTCATATAAGTCGGATGTTCAAGTACAAATTCAATAAATTCCCCGACTCCCTCGAGAAAATTTGATTGCATTCCGTACAATACCGCATCTTTATCATACATCCAACTTCTATTTTGTTTATACATTATGCCTGAATATTATAATAAAAAATTATATGAAATGCAATGCACACAATTTTAAGTAATTTATTTCACTAAATATAATCAACTAATTTTCACTAAATTAAATGAAATGCACAGAATTCACAACAATAATGCACAAAATATACGTCCCCTTATGCACAATAATGCACATAATTTCACTAAATTAAACATACGTTTAATTAAATTTAACTAATTCATTTAGTTAAATTTAACTAAATTTAACTACTTCATTCCGTCCCCTTTTAGTGCATCACTACGTATAAACCTACGTTTAGCTAACTAATTTAACTTAATTAACACATCAATAGCTACGTTCAAACTTAACCTACGTTTAGCAAACGAATTTGAATTAAATTATTTTTGTAAACCTACGTTTAAACCTACAATAAATTATTACGTTAATGACATTTAATCTTATTAGTAATACACAATTAACAATTCACTAAATTAAATAATATGACCAAATTCAACCCAATAATTTGAACATGTATATAAAGTCATTTGAATTAATAAGCAATACACAATTCACAATAACAAATCACAATTCACTTAATTAACACATTACTAACGTACGTTATTTGAACTAATTTCACTTAACATAAACATCATTACGTTTTAAACTACATTTAGCTAACTAATTTTAAATAAATTATTTTATAAACCTAAAAGTTTAACTAATTCTAATTTATGACATTACTACGCTTATAGTTAAAACATGTTGTTAATTAATTAACAACCTCACTAATTTAATAGTTTTAATAATTTAAATTGAACCAACTAAGTCTAAATAAAAATTATAATTCAAATAACATACTTTATCTGCATAAACAGGGAAAATGATAGAAGATAGACTACATCCTTCGATCTTTCAAACAGATACTGTATATACTGGGAATGAATTGGTGTGGTTCTGCTGAATGAGCTGCTCCTGCATATATAAAAAATTTAGTCACGGACTTAGTCACGGATTTGTCCGTCACTAAGCAAAACTGTGTCCAATACGCGTCCAACACGTGTTAATGACGTGTAAATGACGTGTTAATCAAAGTAGTCACGGAACTAGTCACGGACGTGGCCGTGACTAAAGTTATCCGTACATAATACCGTTGCGCATTAAGTTAAGGGAGGTGGAAAAATAAAATTTTTAATCATAGTCACGGGTATAGTCACGGCCACATCCGTGACTAAGACGTCGGAATCAAATAAACTTCGCCGGAAACGGAAACGGGCCTATCGGAGGACTTAAGTCACGGGCCAAGACCGTGACTAATTGTAGTCACGGCCATAGTCACGGTCAAGACCGTGACTATTTTTTTTTTAAAAATTCCGTGACTAGTCCGTGACTAGTCCGTGACTAAACTAGTCACGGACCAAATCCGTGACTACGGTCCGTGACTAAACGCGTGTTTTTTTGTAGTGTGTGTAACAAAATTAACTCCATCAAAGTAATTGTTTTTCTCAGAAGATGAAACGACCCTTGCCAAATTATCTGGTTCGACCTGGTCCGGTACTGTGGGACTGCATCGGGTCTATAAAGCTGTGTTAGGACTGGGTCTAAACTAGGGCTGTTAACGAGCCGAGCCGAGCCCGAACACCTAAAGCTCGAGTTCGGCTCGATAAGGAATTAATGGTGTTCGGGTTCGAGCTCGAAGCTCGACGAGCTTTACAAATGAGGCTCGTGTTCGGCTCGATAGACGTTCGATGTTCGAACCGAGCGCTCGATAAGCTCGATAATATTGGTCGATTTTAAAATTTTAGGTGATGCTCGTTAATAGGCTCGTGCTTGAATGATTCGACAAGTATTCGGTTCGCTAATAATCATATTTAAATTCTTAAAATTACACTAATTATAATTAAATTTTGATTATATATAAATTATATTTATAATTTCAGGGTGTTCGATAGGCTCGAGTTCGAACCGAGTCGAATACTACTATGTTCGAGCTCGGCTCGATTAATTTTTCGAACTTAAAACTTAGCTCGGGTTCGAGTTCGAAAGCTCGTTAAGCTCGGCTCGTTAGGTTCGAAACCGAGCTCGAACCCGAATAGCTCGATAAAAGCTCGGTTCGTTAACAACCCTAGTCTAAACGCACCAGATGATATTCTATTCCATCAAGTACGCCGGCTGGTTATACTTAGGAGAACTCTCAACCATCTAATGTGGCATTTAGTCAATCCGAGACAAGTTCCCATGTACAAAATCTTAATACCTTTACAAATTCCATGGTGAACATTAGTAATAAAAATCTTTTTTGTTGGCTAAAATATGGATTTCATCCCTGCAAGTATTACATTTTTAACATTTTTAAGTCCCTCTTTGTCAACTGCGTCTAAAGAATTTGACGTACGTAAATCAATCACATAATTCCAATTCGGCCTTTTCACATCATTTTAACTTAATATTTTATTTCCAAAGAGCTAGAAAGATATAAATTGAAATTACAATGATGGGTTTACTTGGCCATAACTCCCTTATTATTAGCTGATTCGTTATTACTTGTTAGTTACAAAAAGTGGATGAGGAAAGGCTATACGTAAGTGTTGTCAGGCACATTTTCATAGCGGAGGTTGACGAAAGGGACATAAAATGGAAAGAAAAACATAAATTACGGGGTTAGAAAACAAAAAAGTTTAACAAATAGTTTCAAAAGGACCTAAAATAAGATACTCCATATTTGGTTACGTGGGAAACATATTTAAGCTTTTTTCATGGGATCCTAATTCCTGAGGAAATATAGGACGACCATAGGTTTTCCTTATTTTTAATCAATCTACCTAATCATGAGACCAGGTTGTGTATTGTGCTTTGCATGATAACTGCTTTACCACATTTGTTTCTTAGTGTGGGTTGATAAGTCCGTATTTCTACACGCATTTTATGTGTGTTGGGATCGGATTTTGATGGTTTTCCTAGCTTTAAGGTGTTACAAGTCTCAATCTTAGCTCTAGTCATGTTTACAAATTGGACTTTTTAGTAAAAAAAATGAATAAATTACCCTGGAGTTCAGCGAAAAAAATAGAAAATCAGCACAAAATATGTCATTACAGCATCTAGAGTTCTTCACTGCCTTGGCACTTCATGAATATTCTTGAAGTCCACCATACATGCACCTTTCCATGAGTTTATCACTAAAATATAGTCAATTTACTGATTCAAATCCCAGTATAAACAACTCATGCACCCACTTTCAAAATGCTCATTGTGCTCCCCTTAATTAACTTGTGTAGAAGGGAACGGATTTAGACTCAAATGTTGGGTGCTCAATTTTGTTTTTCCATCATTATGTTTTTTTATAACCGGATTGTGGTGTGCTGCTGCAGGCTTTGATAGTTATGCAAGTCAGGAACATCATGCTCCATACAGTGTTATTATGAAAATCAGACTCAACATGTATATCATGCAACTCAAGATCATGATCATGTAAAGACTGCACCTCCCTGGAAGTTGAGGTATTTTCAAACTCAGCAGAATCCGAATTATTCACAACAATATCATCCAATAATGGAATAGCAGCAGTAAGAACATATTTCACCTCAAACTAAAAACTATTAGAATTAGGGTTAGGATTTGGGGTAGGAACACTTAGACACATAAACTCAGACTCATTGAATATCACATCCCCACTGATCACCACCTTAAACCCCACTTGATTTCTATATCACTGCTTATAACCTTTAACCCCATTAGGATAGCCTAAGAGAACACACTTCTTAGACCAAGGTTCTATTTTATGTAGTTGTTGGTGAACATAGGCAACACAACCAAAGATTCTAAGATTGGATAAGTCAAGGGACTTACCGGAGTCCACATATTCAGGTCACTTTCCTTCTAGAGGAACAGAAGGGGACCTATTTATCAAATAGGCAACAGTACTAATTACCTTCACCCCAATTTTTTTTAGATAGGCCAGAGGTAGCAAGTAAACTTCTCACTTTATCAAGCAAATTCTATTCATACGATTAGCTATACCGTTCTGCTGAGGAGTATAAGGCATATTTTTGTGCCTCTTTATTCCCCAGTCAACACACATTTGGTTCATCTCTCTATTACAAAATTCTATACGATTGTCAATTTTTAGGGCTTTAACCTTTAAGCCATATTGGTTTTCTGCTAAGGTTTTCCACTCCTTAAATCTCTCAAAGACATCAGATTTGTGTTCTGGGAGACAGACTCAAACATTTCTAGAAAAATCATTTGCAATAGACATGAAATATCTCTTACCTCCGCGGGTAGGAACATTAGTAAGACTCCAAACATCAACATGTATGTATTCTAAAATAGAAGTACACTTAGACATATTTGGATAGAAAGAAGTAAGGAAACTAACCCTATGCTGCTTTCCAAGCACACATGCTTCACAGAAAGGCACAAAAGACACACATTCATTTCCAAAGTAATCAGATTTGTGCATGATTTCTAGACCCTTATTACTCATATGTCTGAAACAATTATGCCACAAAACAAATTTATCAAGACAAACAACATTAGCAAATTCAGAGAAGGGTATAACGTGATAAGCATACACCATATTCACTTTCAAAGCTTTGAACATAACCAAAGAGTTTTTAAAAACTTTCATGCAACCATTACCCCACTTTCCCTCTAGCTCACTATCCTCAAATACACCAACAAAGAACAAATTATGGCACACATCAGGAGCATGTATCTCCCACCCCATGCACCTTACATCTTTTACTATCAGCTAAAGTGACATAACCAGCATGACAAACATCATAGGATGAAAACATAGACTTAAATGGAGTCATATGGTAAGTGCAATTGGAGTCAATCAACCACTCATTTTCTGTTAATCTACTCAACACATAATTGGCAAAGTCATAAACAATAAACACATCATCATACACATTATGAGAAACAATAAAGTTTGCTTGGTCAGGCTTCTTAGGGGTGGGATAGTCCTTAATGAAATGACCACGATTCCCACAATTGTCTATACCCTCTTGACTTATACCTCTTCTTACAAGACTTTCTTCTTACCTGACTTTTGACTATTCCTATCTTGATTTTCCTTATTGAGGTATCTAGACCTACTATTAGACCTACGTACCCTCTCACAAATAAGGCCTCATTAGAATCTTTAGAATGATTGACATGTCCACTAGAATGTTTTAAATCAAGCTCTTTACTTTTCAACCCGTTTACCACAATATCTTAAGTAGGATCATCTATATCATATACTCCTTCCGTCCCTTATAATTTTGCAGACTTTCCCTTTTTTGGATGTCTCATTAACTTTGTCACTTTCCATTTTAAGTAAAGAATTTGTGGTTCCAGTTAATTCTCTCTCCTCTGCACAAACCCCAACCACACAGTTTTTACTTTATTAAGCCCCGTGCCGATCAAACTTGGCAAAGTTATTAGAGACGGATGGAGTATTAGACTAGATTTTGACTGATATTTAATACACAGATGATACATCTTTTAGACTAGACCAGATTAGTATATATATCAGAAAAAATCAAACTTAAACAAACAAATTCAAACGGAATTAGATAAGACCAAAAAATTTTAATCTAATGCTAATAACATACTCCCTCTGTCCCTAAAAGAAGTTTCATTTCGCTTATCGATGGTCAATTTAAATCACTCTTAAACTCTTACTTTTTATATCAAAATTTTATAAAAGATATAAAAAGTCCCTAAAAAACTCCCTCTGCTAATAATTTCATTTCGATATAAAATTATTTTTTGCAGGCTTTGTAGCGGGTTTAATGTAATTTCTGAATATGTAAATTTTATTTACTAAAAATAATCCGAATTTTCATAGGGATCATTTAACTTTATCGTCGGTCAACCTTCTTAATCCGCACTTGGAACTCCATTTACTGACGGATGGAAACTAAACAATGTCGAAGATTCGTCCCCTCCATCGAAATCGAAATTAATTGGAAGATATTTCTCGAACCAACTAGAAGACGTCTTCATACCTCCTCCGAAACATGCTTGCAGAACGTACTCGAATACAATGGAACACTCTGGAAAACCCTATGTCTCCTTTAATATCTCTCCTGAGACCTCTGTTCCTTCCCATCCTTACGCATACAACATTTCAACCAGCAAAATTTTCGCCAGTTTCTCCCAAAGCTCTCTTTCAAGTTTCACAAGAGTTTTTTCGAACTTCTTCTTTTGGCTTTCGCAATTTGTTTTGACTGTTGAGGGAAGGCAGTTATGGCCGGAAAAGGTGAAGGTCCAGCAATCGGAATCGACCTGGGGACGACGTACTCCTGCGTCGGAGTGTGGCAGCACGACCGCGTGGAGATTATAGCCAATGATCAGGGAAACAGAACGACTCCGTCCTACGTCGCGTTCACGGACACCGAACGTCTTATTGGCGATGCTGCGAAGAATCAAGTTGCCATGAACCCTATTAACACAGTTTTTGGTGCGTTTCTCATGCTCTTTACTTTTTCGTATTTGTCTTTTTCAGCATCACAGAAAATTACACACCGTATAGCTCTTTTGTACTTTTTTTTTTAGGGATTTTGGAGTTTTAGGCTATTTGTTATATTGCAATGATATAGAGGAAGTTTCGAATCTTCAATTCTTCATATCCCTGATCCGTATTAATGAGTTGGATAAAACAACTGTTTTGTGTTTTAATTACCATTAAGTGATTCGGTATATGATTATTTCTGGATTGGTTCTGATGTGCGTTGAAATATTTGTTGTTGGGATTTATTCAGATGCAAAGCGATTGATTGGGAGGAGATTCTCTGATCCTTCGGTACAGAGTGACATGAAGTTATGGCCATTCAAGGTGATCCCAGGTTCTGGTGACAAGCCAATGATAGTAGTCACATACAAGGGCGAGGAAAAACAGTTCTCAGCGGAGGAAATCTCTTCAATGGTTCTAACCAAGATGAAGGAGATTGCAGAGGCTTATCTTGGAACCACAATCAAGAATGCTGTGGTCACTGTCCCTGCTTACTTCAATGACTCCCAACGACAGGCCACTAAGGATGCTGGAGTCATCTCTGGACTCAATGTTATGCGTATAATCAATGAACCTACCGCAGCTGCAATTGCATATGGGTTGGACAAGAAAGCAAGCAGCTCGGGTGAGAAGAATGTTCTCATCTTTGACCTGGGCGGTGGCACTTTTGATGTTTCTCTTCTTACGATAGAAGAGGGAATCTTCGAGGTCAAAGCCACGGCAGGTGACACTCATTTGGGAGGTGAAGATTTTGATAACAGAATGGTGAACCACTTCGTTCAGGAATTCAAGAGGAAACACAAGAAGGATCTCAGTGGAAACCCAAGGGCATTGAGGCGGCTAAGGACATCCTGCGAGAGGGCAAAGAGGACTTTGTCATCCACTGCTCAGACCACCATTGAAATTGATTCCTTGTTTGAGGGAATTGATTTTTACACTACCATTACTAGGGCAAGGTTTGAGGAGTTGAACATGGACCTATTTAGGAAGTGTATGGAGCCAGTGGAGAAGTGTTTGAGAGATGCCAAGATGGATAAGAGCAGCGTCCATGATGTTGTCCTCGTGGGTGGATCCACTAGGATTCCCAAGGTTCAGCAATTGCTGCAGGACTTCTTCAACGGCAAAGAGCTTTGCAAGAGCATCAATCCTGATGAAGCTGTTGCTTATGGTGCTGCTGTCCAGGCTGCTATTCTGACTGGAGAAGGAAACCAGAAAGTTCAAGACCTGTTGCTGCTGGATGTCACTCCCCTCTCCCTTGGCCTGGAGACTGCTGGTGGGGTTATGACCGTTTTGATCCCAAGGAACACAACCATCCCCACCAAGAAAGAGCAAGTCTTCTCCACTTACTCAGACAACCAGCCTGGTGTGCTGATCCAAGTCTATGAAGGAGAGAGGACCAGGACCAAGGACAACAACTTGTTGGGCAAATTTGAGCTATCTGGCATACCCCCAGCCCCCAGGGGTGTCCCGCAGATCACAGTCTGTTTTGACATTGATGCCAATGGTATCCTCAATGTTTCAGCTGAAGACAAAACAACTGGCCAGAAGAACAAAATCACCATCACCAATGATAAAGGAAGACTCTCCAAGGAGGAGATTGAGAGAATGGTGCAAGAGGCAGAGAAGTACAAGTCTGAAGACGAGGACCACAAGAAGAAGGTGGATGCTAAGAACGCCTTGGAAAACTATGCCTACAACATGAGGAACACAATGAAGGATGAGAAAATAGGTGCCAAGCTCCCACCTGCTGACAAGAAAAAGATTGAGGATGCAATTGAGGAAGCCATCCGGTGGCTTGACAGCAACCAACTGGCAGAGGCGGAGGAGTTTGAAGACAAGATGAAGGAGCTGGAGGCATTGTGCAATCCGATCATAGCTAAGATGTACCAGGGTGGTGGAGCTCCAATGGATGATGATGATGATGACGCTCCTCCTGCCAGTGGTGCGGGACCAAAGATTGAGGAGGTCGATTAAATCAGGGAATCGCAGTTTGATACCATTATGATGTGGTTATGTTAATGGTGCTGGAGTCGTGTCTCTTTTCTATGTAATGGGCTCTGATTTCATGTAGCTTTTGATGCTTTTGTTTCTAAATATAACTTCACATCTTTTGTGTTCATTCTCTTCTAGTAATTAATATTAGTTTATTACAACTTTTGTTAGCATCAAAGACATGGATTGCCACACTTTCCAATGGACAGGGACGGATACCATAACTGAAAGCTTCATACACACTCACTCTGCAATTGGAGGGAGCTTTCAAGGAGCCTGCCTATAAACTGAGGCACAACGTTGTTCTCCTTTAAAGTTTAAACCTTTGCAGCATTGCCCAAAATCACATTGAACTCAGCCCATAACGTTACGCATACCATTTAACTTTCTAAGCCATATTCCCCAATTTGGCCCATATAAGTTAGGCCCGATTACTACAAACAAAGACCTCCCATTTTCATACAATCTGACCCATCACTCCCCCACAAATGGATTTCACCGACTCACCGTCTCCGTCCTCGTCCACCCAGGTCTCTCTTCGTCCCCTGCCTCCTCTATCATCCTCCTATTTTAGAGCCGCAGCTCCCAGTATCCGAGTTATCCTTAAATCGTCTCTTCGACGAGTAACCAAAATGTCACTTCAATGAGTCCGCGAAGACAGTTATGACGGCGCAGTTATATGAGGTCTGTTATTTTATTTGATATCCTCTTTCTTCATTTTATTTCGAATTTTATGATTTTTTCGTAAAAAGTACTGTACAATATTTTTTGTTCGTAGTTGATAGATCACATGAATAGTTGTAGCTCAGAAGGTGTTGTGAGGTTTAATTTTCTTTTTATTTTGATTTTCCTTTTTAATTGATTTCCCTTTTTCAACTTTTTCTTTTATGCCTGAATACTGTGCCTCCAGCTAGTTTAGTGACAATATCAAATTAATTTATATTACAAAGTTCCCTATGCTCTTTATTGCTTACTAACATACTCATTTGAAGATGTGAAATTTATCGACTTTAGCAATTTTGAAGAAATTTAGCAAAGACAGGCATATAGGTCTGAATTAAATATTTAATTAAAGGCAGAGGTATTTTCATTATCACTACATGCTTAAAGACCAAAATTTTATACCTTTGAATTAAGAGAAAACCATTATTAGTGCATAAAGACATTTGCATTTTTTGTGACAATTTACCTCTTCACCCAATACTTTAAATCATTAGACAATCTGTATGTTACACCATCTTAACATAAGTAACTGTTGTGTTTTAAATATCAACGGTTATAGATTTAAGATGATTTAAATTTTAAGAAAAACAGAATAGTATACACACACACACACATATATAATAGTTTTCTTATATAGTATTTCCTCTGTTCCGATGGGCTTTTCCAACTTTGAAGTAGGTGAGTTAACATTGTTTGCCTATAAGAATTGATTTTTTAAGCATCGGTCTTACTTCCCACTTCCCAGCAATAATCCCATATATGCTGCAAGCCTACATCAGTAAATTGTTGTTAGGATGAATTGCTGGCAGGTTCACAAAATGATGCCATCATTTTTTAGCTACCTGCATATCCCACCATGGTATTCCTCAAACTACATTTGCATCATGTAGGGACTTATTTTAAAGTTCAATTGTATAGGTTTCCATCAACTCATTCTTTAAACTCGGGGATTCTTTTTTAAATTGTAGCATGGATCCGGGGACCTAGATAAAACAAAAGAAACAACTAGAATGGGTTTCATACCTACTTTAAATCATTGTTTACTTTTAAGTACGGAGTATGAATTTTAGAAAACAAAACACATCCGTTAAATGAATTTTAGAACACGATTATGGCTCTCATTGTTTTTCAATATGTTCTTGTGGTATTGTGCTTCATAACTTTGTTAAACTACAACTTGGCTCCGTTAAACCAACAAAAAAAAATGTGAAATAGCTTCATAAGATAGCCTATCTAGGCATATATTCGCTAAATAATTTACATACCTTTCACTCCTTAATATACCTGTTGGCTGTTGAGAGATGTGGCATGGTTATCTATAGTGTGCAAACTGATAATGGGGAGTTCAAAAGCTGTACATTTGAATGGGGAATTTAGAAGTGTGTTTGGTTAGCTGGTTTGTATTACATTTTATTATTTTCTTATATGTCTCAACAGAAATAATGGGCTTACTTTATACTGAACATTTTGGATTCATTAAAATTGTGGTAGATTTTATTCATAATACAAATACTCCGTAATTGTTCTTTTGTTAATTTATTAATTAATACTTAGGTGTAAAAAATTATTCTATCACACTTTTTATATACTCCCTCCGGTTTTTAATAAACTTCACACTTTCCTTTTTGGGACGGTCTAAAATAAACTTCACACTTCCTTATTTCCTTTTTTGGCAAAGTAATCTACATCAAAACAATGTCAAACAGTGCCAAACAGTGTCTCAACAGTGCAAACAGTGTCTCTACAGTGCCAAACAGTGCCTCAATAGTGTACTCTACAGTAAAGTCAAATTTATTTCCTTATTTTGTGTGAAGTCAAACTGTGAAGATTAAAAAAAAACTGGGGATAGTATAAAATATTATATCAATCATTGTCTAACTACAATTTCAAATTTTCTTTTTCAGGTGGGTGCAAAAAAACCGGGGAAAAAATTGGAGCCTACACTATCCTGGATGTGGATGTTCCAATGCTTGCTGGATTGGCTAATACCGATGGTCCTCTCTATCTAGAATAGCCGACCTCTTTCAAATCGATGAAACTGATGGCGATTCTGAAGGCTCACAGTGTCATTAGAGCATTACGTCAAACAGTTGTCATATCTCCTTCCAATGCTAAACTCCATTTCAGTTTCTGCACCCAAGTTCCAACTTCGTCTCTCGGTTCAGAAACAGAGGATGTGCATAATGTATTGAAAGAAGAAAGTGAAGAAGACGATAAGGAATCAGAATTAAAGAGCTTGAGTTGGAGGATAGAAAACTTGCCCAGAGCAGAGCCGGTTGGGCCAGCTTTCCAAAGCTGGATGGGCGATGGCTTTCCCATCCACAGAGGCCATATCTTCCATACCATAAACCGCTTGCGCAGGCGCAAGTCCACAAAACGCGCTCTGGAGGTTCAATTTCTATCTTTTCTCTTTGCTTTCTCCCTTCCTATGATTGTACACCAACTGTTTGACAAAATCACTCAAACGAATGTTTGCCAACAATTTGGCAGGTGATGGAATGGGTTATAAGGGAGAAGCCATACAAGCCGAAGGAGCTAGATTATTCGTATTTATTGGAATTCACTTCTAGATTTCATGGGGTATCTCAAGGTGAAAGTTTGTTCTCCCGAATTCCCTCCAAATTGCAAAATGATTTACTCTACAACAATCTAGTGCTTGTTTGCTTGGAAAGAGGGATGATCAGACTCTCACTAGCATACATGAAGAAAATGAGAGAGCTTGGCCATCAGATATCACATCTAGTTTTTAACCGCCTTATCATTCTCCATGCTTCCCCTGGACGAAGAAAATGTATACCGAAAATCCTAACTCAGATGAAAGCCGACAAGGTGACTCCGCATGTTTCCACCTTTAATATTCTGCTAAAGATTGAATCTAATGATCACAACATTGAAGGCTTGCTCAAAGTGTTTAATGATATGAAGAGAGTTAAGGTTCAACCTAATGAGGTAACATACTGCATTTTAGCTACTGCCCATGCTGTGGCAAGGCTGTATACAGTGTGTGAAACTTATGTTGAAGCTATTGAGAAGTCTGCAACTGGTAAGAACTGGTCTACCTGGGACATTCTTGTTATATTGTATGGGTATTTAGGGAAACAAAAGGAGCTGGAGAGGACATGGGGAATCATCCAAGAACATCGCCAGGTTACGTCTAAGAGCTTCATGTTGGCTATTGAAGCATTTGGGAGGATTGGAGATCTAAACAGAGCTGAAGGACTGTGGTTGGAAATGAAATCAGAAAAGGGTTTGAAATCAATTGATCAGTTCAACTCGATGATAGCAGTGTACTGTCGGCATGGTCTGGTCACAAAAGCAACTATGCTGTATAAAGAGATGGGGGCATGTGGGTTGAAAGCAAATTCCATAACTTTCCGGCATCTTGCTTTAGGTTGCTTAAAAGCCGGACTAATGAAGGAAGCCATGAAAACTCTGGACCTTGGGATGGATATGACTACAAGCATAAAGGTCAAAAGGTCGACTCCATGGTTAGACACTACTCTTACAATAATTGAAATTTTGGCAGATAATGGGGAGCTCGAAATGGTAGAGAAGTTGTTTGAAGAACTGAAGAAAGCAAAATATATAAGGTACACATTTGTGTACAATGCATTGATTAAGGCATATGTGAAGGCAAATGTATATGATCCCAATCTTCTAAAAAGGATGGTGTTAGGAGGGGCCAGGCCAGATTCTGAGACTTACAGTTTACTAAAGCTCATTGACCAATTCAAAACTTGACGCTAATTGTCGATGCATGTTCTCATCTGTTACTCATGTTATTTATCTTCTTTTTTTGGGTGATTGCATTGCTAATGGGAAACAATTGTTGATACATATTGTGTTCCACCTTTATATTATATTGCAGAGAAAATTATAGATTTTGTTGTTGCTGAGAGAAATAGATTATGAAGTGAAAGTTTGCTATTGAATTGTTTGGAAGGAGTGGAGATCTAAACCAAGCCCAAGGAATGTGGTTCAGATCTCCAAGACAAAATTCTTTTTGTTTTTTAAATTCTTTAAAAAAAAAGATTATTTTTTAAAATATTATGCATTTTTTATGTGCTTGAGTAATGAGTTACTAAATTCCCGAAATAAGAGAAAAAATGTTTGTCAGAATAGGAGTGCTATGTTTTATTTCCCTAAATAGGAGGGATTTAAACCATAACAATATACTACCATGAGTGGCCAAATAGTGCTATAATTAGCACATCATTTTCAAACTCTAATTACTCAAAATTATAGAATAAAAATATAATACTCCTATTTTGAAATTCTCAAACGTTTTTATTCCTATTTAGGACAACTTCTTTTATAAAAATTTATATTAAAGAAATAGTTTTCCTGCTCATTTCTAACTCAAGCTCAGGCTACACTAAATTCCTAGTGTTGACAAATGACCACTCAATGTTGAGGCCTTGAGGGAACATGTTAAACATTGTGAGAGAATAAAGCTTGCCAGCTGCCAACAATGTTCTACAAGGCAAAGTTGTGTTTTGTCTTATGAATCTTACATAGCCAACAAAGAGGAACAAACATTACATGCATGGAACCATTATTGGGCCATAAGACATAATTTATTTTCCATGCTTCACTTGAGATAATTGAGGAATTCTGCTGCAGTTGCAAGAGCACCACCTGTTATGGCACTCTTTACAATTTTCTCTTTGTTTTCGCTGCTGGCAATAGATATAAGTGCCCCAGTCAGTGCACCCCCTATCATTGCATTCTTCTGGATCATTGAAAAGTACAAATGAGAAAAAAGTGAAGATATTTCACCCGTGAAGCAAAATGCCAGAAATATACTGTCATGTTATGAAATCACTTGCAAATATGCCAAGGCTCGTGTAAGTAAAAAAACATATGAACACCTTTCTGCTCTTACCAATAGACACTAACCTTTATAAGCATGTCCTGTTTGGGAGGACAAAACTGGACTCGAAATTATTAGACTATAGCTTTGTTGTTTCCCGTTTTATTTTTTATTTCCGTTGTACCCAAAAAAATGTCCTGTTTTTTCAATGTAAAAGAGAAATAACTTGGTATCTTGGTCCTTCACATAAAAGATGAGGGAACTGGATGGAAGAAAAGGAAGGTGGCTAAAATAATGTTTTTTGGTTCAATGAAGTACTGGAGAGGATTTAATACTTCAGAAAAAGACATAAAATCGGTTGAATTTGATAGAAATTTTATTGCAACTTAAGACGTGTTAATCTAAATGTGTCACAATAGCACAAATTTAATACAAAAAGTTGAAGAAATATATGACTAATCACTGTATGTGTGTATAAACCCCTCAAAATCTCGGGTGAGTGAGATACGAGGGGTTTTTATGAAGCTAATGGAGGTTTTTAAATTTCCTCTACTTTTTCCCTCACAGCCAAACAAGAACACACAACCCCTTCACTCTCCTCCCCTCTAGAATGCTTGTATTGAAGTGTTTTTTTTCATGTTGTCTATTCTATAGTTGGGGGAGAAGCCTGAGGGTTTGTGCGGGCAGCTGTTGCACCGGAAACTTTTCTATCCTTGTGGAGGGATGAAATACCTACAATTTGATATGAAATGAGTCTCGTAACTTATTTTGAGTCAAAAGTTATGGCCTCGTAAAGTAAGCATTGCCAGAGCGTGTGCTTGAATTAAAAGAAGGTTTTACTTGAAAGAGGTGAGTGCAGTGATATTACCCAATCTCTTTCTCCTCGGATTCTCTCCACCCCGAACTCCATTCCAGCATATACTCCAGCTACAGTCCCTGTAAATCCAAAACTTCAGAAAATGTATACCACCGCTTCTTCTTTTTGTGTACTCAAGAAATGGCATTTAGCATAGAGAGGACCCACCCCAATAAGCGCCTTCTTTGCACATTTTCTTTAACTGCAACCACATTAAATCTGGTTAGAAGATAGAACACACACATGCAAATATTAAAACATATTCTGTCATCTGTGCATTCTCACCGAATGTGAAAGTTTGTCCTGTGAAACCCTTCCTGTAATAAATAAATTAAAAAAAAACATTTGAATCAAGATTTGGTCAACTGAACAATATGTGCATCTTCTTTACAATGCATGAAATAAATAGTTTTGTCAAATAATTTACAAAACAGTCATGCTCCAAGTCCTTTTAAAGGACATTAACATGAATATAACTCAGATCCTAGCTAACACAAAAACCAAAACAAGCAACTTTTATTCTCAAATCAGTGGGTTAGGCTACAATCAATAAATCAAGTTGATAATCACAAACAAGTGATAATTTCATTCAATAAGCAAAGGGAAAATGACATTTGTACCAATATCTAGTTCTCTGCAAGCATGTCAATATCTAGCTATAAGGAAATCAATGCCTATGAGCATACATTGATTATCTATACAGAGACAAGAAATATTACCATTCTAAGGAAATCAATGTATGTTCAATATAAAGTTCTGAAATTCGCATATAGACTTCATTTACCAAAAATTACAGGACAATTATATAATCCACAACAACACTAGATTGACTCCAAACAGGCGATGCGTTTATTTGATCATATCTTACTATATTTTGTTCTATTCAATCCGACATTTATAGTACCTACAACTAAAATTGGATTTTTCCAAATTCGTGTTCTGGGTAACTTTACAAACAACAATGTATTAGGTACATCTTTTTGCCAAGGGTTTTGAAAATGTGTATAAAAAGAGTAAAACTTTTTGGTACACCGAGCATTGAAGCAGAGCAAAAGTTACCTCGTTCTACCATGTAATAAGATTCCTCAGCTGCAGTTTTGACAGCAGCTACCTGAAATCAGCCAAAAAGAGCAACTTTACCTGAAATCTGCTACTGTAAAAAAAAGCCTGAAGGGGTGGGGATGGGGGGGGGGGGGTACAGAAACAGTCAAACAGAGAGGGAGTGGATCACCGTCCCAATCTTCAGAAAAGCATCGACAGTGTGATTGAGGAAGGGATTGCCCATGTCGATAACAACGTCGACCTTCGGCGAAGTGAGTGAACCTGCAAATCTGCTCCTCGGCATCTTCTCCTCTGAATCTGCAAAACAGCCTTTCTGAATCTTAATAAATCAACGGACTGGCCTCGCCTTGTACAGCTTGCAGTATAAAAAATAAAAATCACACCTTTTTGTCATTTTCTTTGATATTTTAAGCACTTTTTGTTTTTTATCCTGTTTGCTGATGAAGTCAAATCATTAATCACGTTATGAGCCACCTAACAAATGTGTAATATCCTTTTTTTATGCCCGTTACTTTTAATTTGGACAGTAGCGGCGCTAAAAATCCAATCAAAATTGGGAACCGATTGTCGACTCAAAAGATGTTATTAATCAAATTCACTAACTCCGTATAAACCTATTTTACATTTTACACTGAACTGAATCCGAACCATATCATCATGCTTATTTATAATATTATTATTTTAAAAGTTACTAAAAATAATCATATTTAAAATATTAATAGTAAAAACACATGAATGTGTGTATAGATAATAGTATAATAATAATAATAATAATAATAATAATAATAATAATAATAATAATAATAATAATAATAATAATAATAATAATAATAATAATAATAATAATAATAATAATAATAATAATAATAGTCCTATAAAATAATGGTTAATGTACTACTCAAAACATAAAAAACTAAGTTACTTCATATATCCTTTGTAGCCAATGCTTAATACTAGTATCATTTTGTGTCTTAACAGCTACCTGTGAACAATAAAGTTGGCATTTTATTTTGATCCTCTGATCATAAAGGCTATTCAAAATAGCTAACTGAATTCGCTGCTATCGAACAGTCAATATAATCGGTTGGTATGGACTGGTTTCTTTTACACGTTGAACCAATTTCTGGTACCGACTTCTACTATCAAGTTGATTTCATAACTATAAATGAGTCAATTTTCAAGTAAAAAGTAACAATATTGCTCATGTCTAGTTTTGGGACTAAACCTAGGCATGGACTGGTTCAGGGTCGGGCCGGGCTCCGGGTTGGTCCAAACCGGGCTTTTTGTTTATGGGTTAAGGCCCGGAACCGGCCCGGGATTCCACCGGAATGGGGCTTTTACACCTTCATCACTTTGTAATACACTCTTCATTTCTATGCTTCATATTACTTCGTATCATACCATGTTATCTAGCATCTTTCTCCCAACATCTATTTGTGAACAATCAGTAATAATCCTATAGAACAGAAACACCGATAATTATTTTCATATCTTACAACTAGGAGAGGGCATTTTGGAAAGATGAAGAAGATAGAGCAATATGAAGCAGCTAAGTAACAAAACTACTCGATGCGTCCTAAAGAAGTAGAGCAAACTGGAAGATAAAGTGCGAAGATGATGCAACCTAACTAGATATATATCCTCCGTATAGAAGGACAGAGTGGTCATTTAGTACATCACTCGTAAGATAATAATTTTCAGCCAAAAAAGTAGCTCAACACTTGCATTATCAGCCCATTTTGTATCCTCCATACGGCCTCATAGAATGAGAAGTATTCTCTTTTTGGCTGATATAATAAGTCATTTATAACAATCCAATTGAAGCCTTTTTGGTTCGTAGAAGAGTAGCATTCTCTTTTTGGCTGATAAAAGACACTCTACTACGCTCTAAGATTTTCTTTCTCAAATCATGTTTCGATTTTTTTTTTCTTTCTCAAATCATATTTCAATTATTATCATCTTTTACTATTAAATACTTTTCATATACTGTAATTTATAAGATAAATTACTTTTCAAAAGTCGGGAGAACAACCACTTAATTAGACAATTTAAACCCAATTTTAAGTCATGTGAAGTAGACATGTACCTATAGCACTGCTTATTTAATGCACCACTTACTAACACATGTATTATTAAGCACTGCTTAATAACCGACGAAGTAAGCATGTCCTAACTCTTCCATTTGAGGCATTACTGTATGCTTACTAATAGAGGGCGACGAGATCATTAATCCCAAAACCCCTAGAATTCCTCTCCCTTTAACTTAAACCATCCCAATTGAAGCCCATTTTGTATCCGCCATATGGCTTCATAGAATGAGAAGTTTGGAACAAAATGAATAATGATAGATCTTATGAATGAAACTGTTCATACATTTTTTTTAGGGAAGAAACTGTTGATACGTCAAAAGTAAAGTAGTTTTGTTGATCAGAGAGTGAATTGTATTTTTGATTACATCATATTCAATTTTTGTGAAAATGGTAAGAGTCAGCATCATGAGGTCCATTTTTACTTTTTATTTTCCCTTCATTATGTGATCATGGCATTATCGAACTAAATCTAACCCTGTTAACTACTAAGGACCCAAATTGCCTCATGAAGAACTAAATCACAAGTCGCTTGAATAATTGTCCGAATTCTCAACAATATAAATTCACGCACTAGGAGTCACTAGAAAATGATTAAGGTAATGCTTGCACAAAGTTATGAAAAAAGTAATGGTTTTCACTTTAAAACAGTTAAAAGTAGTGTTTCCAAACATGCATTACTACTTAAATTAAATATTTTAAATTTAAAAGCTAGAATAATGAAATTGGTGCTTTAAATGTTTTGATTTTTTCTATATAAAAGAAACTCTACTCCACTCTAAGTCTAAGATTTTCTTTCTCAAATCATATTTCAATTATTATCATCTTTTACTATTAAACACTTTTCATATAATTTATAAGATAAATTACTTTTCAAAAGTCGGGAGAACAACCACTTAATTAGACCATTTAAACCCAATCTTAAGTCATGTGAAGTAAACATGTATCTATAGCACTGCTTATTTAATGCACCACTTACTAACACATGTATTAGTAAGCATGTCCTAACTCTTCCATTTGAGGCATTACTGTATGCTGACTAAGAGAAGGCCACGGGATCATTAACCCCAAACCCCCTAGAATTCCTCTCCCTTCAACTTAAACCATCCCAAAAAGGAAGAATAATGTGAGAAGTATCCCCTCGGGGTCCATCTTTTCAGAAATTTCTCATATGAATTTATCAATCATCAAAGAAATAGCAAGTAAATTAACACAAGTAGTGTAGATATAATCAGTCATATATAACAATTCAATTGAAGCCTTTTTTGTTCGTAGAAGAGCAGCATTCTCTTAATCCCAAATTAGTGCAGGCAATCAGAAAGCAGAGTGCATGAAAAATCTTTTCTTCCAGGGGAAGTGATAAGTGAAATGTGGCAGATCAAACCTACTCTCCTTCTCATGGTAGACTGGTATGGAATCTGTCCTTTCCTATCTTTTGCAATGCATAGTTTGCTTAGTGATTGCATAACCATAGCACAAACTGCAGAGTGAAGAGGCACACATGAAGAAAATGCAATGGAATGTTTCAATACTTTGAGATATCCAGATTCCTCGGACAATCCAAGTTGGCAAATTGCCAAGACTACTACGAATTGATAAACATGACTTTCTGGAGATCATCAGAATCTACTTCTCGGATTGGCAAAACATCATGGTGTACAAAACACTTGTACACTGTGGGTGTGATGTCAGTAAAATGTGATACTGTAGAGAAGCTTCCTACGATTCTTTCTCTCAAAATTGTTGACAATACTATCAATTGTCTCCTCCCAATTTTCGACAGCATCAATCTGCAAAATCATCCAATAGATAAATAAGAAAAAAAAAGGTTATTTTATAAGATGTGATCAGATAGACATGCTTGACCGGAAGCAAATTCTGTATGAAATGTAAAAAAGAAAGACACATGAAATGTATACCTCTTGGCACAATGTTAAAGCAAGACGTCCTCCTATTGCTGCCTCTTCGTGGTTATCTTTTACTTCTAGATTGATTACTAGAGCAAGCTTCATGAGAGGTTGATCACGGTTATGGAGGTCTGCACATACAGTTAAATTACATGTTATGTAAAACAAACGTGGAGGATGAATCACAAGGGCTCTCAAAAGGCTCAACCCCATTGTTTAAAGTTAAACCATGAGAGGGAGATACACTGCCTTTCGACAAAATTCTATGCTTTCAGGTGTTATTGTGACATATTCAGCATACGAAAAATTTACTAGCTAGCAGAAAGGGCCATTAGGTAAGCTTTTGTTTCTTTTTTTTATGTTTTCAGATCAAGGCCTACCCAACCCAAACCCACCACCCCACTTCTGCTAACTACCACGGTTACATTTTAAATTTATATTTTCCCAGATGAGCTCCACCCTCCTTTAAACATGTATGCACTTTGACCTCGCCTCTTGAGCCCTCACTTTGAAATGATCTAATCTTCATCGGCTCACCAATTACATCAATACAGACAATTTATGAACCATAAAATGTTCATGTCTATAGTTTCTGTTAGACAAAACTCAGAGTATACAAAAAATTGCAAGAATATCATATCCAAGCTTCTATAATCAATATCTAAAAGGTAAGTAGAGGCAATGCAATAAAGTGCAGGATGAATAGGAATATGCCATCTTTTAGTATATGGATAGTTGATCTTATAATCACAATTCATTTCTACTCTGGATTGCTATAAACACTTCAACCCTTGAACAGTTGAACTGGAAAAAAGTTTAGGAAAAAGAACTACATGAACTACTGCTGACTTTATAAACGAAGTAAAAGATAAGCTGAAAAAGGCGTGGAGTATCAATTGATATATCATGTGGTAACAAAAGCAGATATGGGAACAGTATCTATTGATTAATAGACAAGAGAAAGGAAAAACATGCAAGTGATGCAACCCTATGCAGCAATTGCTTGTCAATAAATGGAGCCGCAAAAAATCCCCAAAAGAGAAAGAGCAAAATTAACATTGTCAAAAAACAAGGACGATTAAGCTACCATACAGACCTTCAATCACCATATCGAACACCTTCTCTTCGAAAGTAAGCACTACGTCAAAAGGCCCATCATCAGCATTATCCTGCCAACGTTGAGGTGCAAGCTTTACACCCAAATTTCTTTTGAGCATGGGCAGTATCCCGTTTCTCTTGTACCTATATGACCCTTTCTATTAGTAGACAGACTAACATATTGCATTGTTTGATAATTTATACTCATCAGGATAGAATTAACAATGGTGAATAATATAAGACTGAAATTTTGAGACACTACAACCAAAACACAGCTTAGCAATTATTGTGATTTACCTTAGCTTGAAAGGATTAATTGTTTATCA